TTATAGTCCACTAGCTAAAGCTGCAGCAGAGTCACACCAACACACACGGCAAAGAAAAAGGGCTCTAACAATGATGTATAGCCAGTAGTAGACACATCCCCAACAACAACAACACATACACACACACATACACTGAGACATGTACCAGCTAATGCTGCCAAGGGAGCCCCATACAATGTCTACAAATGAATTTTTCAGGTGACTCCTCAGTAAGTTCCCATATCACCTCCACCAATTTCCACCTCAGGTTCCAGAAGCAAGTTCCTCCCGCAAAGTCAAAACTCCTACAATGTCTCATGTGCTCACCAAGACCCACATCAATGATCCAGCACAGCCACTGAGGATTAGCAATGTCCTCTGTGGAAAGGCATCTGGAATCACAGCAACACCAGAGGAAAAGCCCTCAACATGCAGGAATGAGGGTCCTGAGAGGGCAGCTTGGCAAAGGCAGGAGGGAGTAACAGGCATGGGCAGCTGGAGGAGTTGTGGCCATCAGCTCCAGTTAAGGCAGACCAGGACAGCTGGGCTTGGACAAGACCCAGAAAAGGAAGGGCCAACCGGCATCTGGCTCAGAGTGCAGATGGCCAGCAGTGCTGAAATCTGCTTCCAACAATTGAATGATCTCATGGCCCAGCCTCGGTTATGAACAGTTGTTGACCTCCACCCTGGGAATGCAAGACAGAGGGTAAGTAGAGCAGTGGAGAGATAGAGAGGCCTCAAAATGACCTGCACAGAAAAAAAACTGCAACTGAAATGACCTTGAATTACCAAAGAATTAGGTAGCAATTGCAAATTCCCTTAGATGAAAATACTGCTATTGCATAACAGTGAAAAAAGAGATGTAAACAACAGATTCCTGGGAATCCCAGAACTAGACCTTCAGAGACAAATCAGTATCCAGCTCTCACATTGTCCTTGCCTTCCTGAATCTCCTGTTTCATCAGCTGTGCATAGTGGAGGCCACCATCATCAATCCTGTGATCTTCCTGCAAGGATGCTTCGATCATACAAAGATTGGAAGCTGGTTCTATTCCAAAGAGACTGTGAACCCAAGATTATGTTCACCCTCGCCATCTCCTCTGCAGGGCCCACTCCCTGGAAGCACAATGTAGCTGTAGTGACTGGCAGAGTGCCAGGGAGCTATTGGGAATGGCCACCCTGTCTCTTCCAATTGCCTTATTCTTTTCATGCTTCTCACATATCATCCAAAGGAATAGTCCAATAACCAGGATCAGAAGCACAATCAGCAGAACCCCCAGAAGCATCCCACAAAGCTAGCAGTATGTCCAAGTCACACAGAATGAATAAGGGAAGGATGAAGCAAGAGAGGTACTGTGGTAACCATTGTCAGGAGGAGCCTAAGAGAGAAAGCAGGTGGAACAGTTGGAGCGGGCCTAGTTCAGCAGTTGACATGGGAGGAGCATGGAAGATTCATTCACCAATCACCAAGTTCTTGATGTCAGGCTAGCTGAGATGCACACAGTCTGGGTTCACCCTTGGAAAATCATCACCAGTGAGGGAATGCTGAGGAAATAAAAAACAGCTTCGACACAGAGATTGCTTCTGCAACTGAGGGAAATTTGTTTGTTTTGAGAGACAGCAATTCCTGTGGTTTGGCTTACTCTCCAGAAAAATCTCCAAAAGTTCTAAGAAAAAGAGATCTTAATCAGCCTCCTGATCACCAGGCTAAATGCTCACCCCTGCTATAACCTTTGCACTTTGCACAAGGTCATATCTTCAGGGAAGTCCTCTCAGAGGTGACACTGAGAAAACTGAATCATGAGAGATGAGAGAAGGGCTCCCAAATACTCAACCTCTGGCAGTCTGATTCTGACAATCACCACATTTAGGAAACAGCTGTGTGTGTGTGTGTGTCAAAAAGCCAGTGCTGGGATTTCTCAATAGAAGAGGGGCAGCCAAGGGAGCAAAACAATGCGAAGGAGCCAAAAGAAGAACAAATTCTAAGTCCAGAGACTCTTATGTTCTTGATGATAAATGTTTACCAGCAGCTAAGTCTCCAGGACAGATAAGGAAAGAGGACATAAGAGGGAACCTGAACAGTCTAATCCCTCTAGCAGCTCTGAGATCAAAGGTTAGAGAGCATGCAGTTCATCCTCATGTTCAATAGGGCCAGGTCTGTGGCAGGCTGGGTTGGGCTGGTGCACAGCACCCGTTGGTTTGTATAGGACATGGGATTTGGAATGGAACTGACCAGATAAATATAACCACCAGTGTATGCATAAGTTGATGTAGGTGATGAACTGAACCAGACCTTGTACTGACTGCCACATGCAAGAGTTAGGTCTTGACTCACCCCAGGTGAGGTTTCTTGGGGGACACCCCAACTAGACCACTGAATTCAAAACTCCTGCCACAGGGAGGATTTGGGGATCATAGAACTTGGGGTCTGACCTTGGAATGCATGTGTTGGGACTGGGCTTCCTGGAATGCTGATGCCTGTGCAGTGGACAGAATGCCTACCTAGATACATATGGGGGACAGAACAATAAGCTCACATAGACTTGCAAAAAATATGGAGTACCATGTCAGAGAATGGCAAACAGCATGGCTTAGAGAACTCTCCTGTTTGACCACTGGCAGTGTAAACAACATAAGAAATAAAATAAAGTTTAAAAGATAATAATAATAAAGGTTAAAGAGCATGAGGTTCGTACCAGGTCATTAATTCATTCAATGAAACATGTTCGATAAGCAAATGTGTACCAAAAGCAATGCTTGCAAAAGGAATTCAATAGGCACGCACAAAAAACCTACTTTATGAAGTTGCATTAGTCTAAAACCATTAAATTACAGTAAATAGGTTATGAATATACAAATACATTGTGGGGAAAGGCCATAGACAGCTCATTAAAGGAAATGATGCCTGAAAAGTTCATCTAGCCAGACACTCTCTGGGAAATACAGCAAGCAGTGTCTGGTAAAGAGTGCAAGGGGGAGGCTGGAGAGCCAGTGTGGTGGCCTAGCAGCTAAAGTTCTAACTTTGAATGCACCAGGATCCCATATGGGCATCGGTTCTAGCTCCAGCAGCCCCACTTCCCATCCAGCTCCCTGCTTGTGGCCTGGGAAAGCAGTTGAGGATGGCCCAAAGCCTTGGGATCCTGCATCCGCAAGGGAGACCTGGAAGAACTCCTGGCTGCTGGCTTCAGATCAGTGCAGCTCCAGCCATTGCAGTCACCTGAGGAGTGAACCACCAGACAGAAGATCTTTCTCTCTGTCTCTCCTCCTCTCTTTATATATCTGACTTTGCAATAAAAATAAAATAAATCTTTAAGAAAAAAAGTGCAAGGGGGGCCAAAAACACAGCCAGAAGAACATCTGACAACATCAATTTCCAAAAACTAAATAATGAGCAAATGACCCCAGATGGCTGGCTCAGCTGTGCAGGATGACAGAGTGCCTTGCCCACCCTGGTTACATGGCCACACAATCCTGAGTATACAGAGATTTTCACAGGTCCCAAGATCATAAGGCACCCCTTGCCAAATGTGACCTTTCACCAATTGTTCCAGTTTCCAGTAAATTAAGGTCATATGAGATTGGAAGAGGAGATGGGGAATGAGCAGATAAAAGCCTGAGTGTGCCACCCCTCCTTACTCCCTAAGAAAAAAGGGCCTATGGGGGAGGAAGCAGCATCCATCCAGTGTGAATAAACTGGAGGGTGCGAAGTGGTTGTTGTTGGAGAAGAAGGATCCTACATCAAGCAACAATTTCCCAGGCTCCAGGCCAGCTATCAACTTTCAAACTACACAAGAACAAGCACTTCATCATTATGAGTGAGAGGATCCTTTGATTTCTGCATTAAAACTTCAAAAACATCATGAGTCCTCCTAAGTCTGTAACTCCCTACATTTCTACATCACTGTGAACAGTGAGTTTGCATTGTGAGGAGAACACAACTCCTGGTAAAACTCCCTGGCAGCCTCTGTGTTCTTTATACTAATTCCTTTGTCCACATGGAAGTGTCTGCGTGAAGGCAGATCCTGTAGACTCACCCTGATTTGAAAGCTCTAAGAGGGAGTTCTCAGCACAGCCAGCAGTAGGGTTATAGACATCAAGTGGATTTCCACTGGTACTTGCAATCACTAGTATTGGCGCCAGTGTGGGATATGGTGAGGGGATTAAAAGTATCCTGGCAAACTCAGCCATCACCAGTGCACATGTGCAATCTACACAACAGAGCTTTTTATAATGACTCTCCTCATCTCCCCTCCAATTATCTTGCTTAGTGAGGTTTCTGTACATTGTTCTTTGAGCATCTGTGGCTGTCGAGTTTAGGTGTCACTCTTATTCTTGACATCAAACACATGGTTCCTGGGATTCCTGCTGATAGCTCCAGGCACTCTCCTCAGAGCTGGCTTGGCCTTGGTAAGCAGTTATCTGAGCATCACATCACAACACTCTTATTGCACATGTAAAGAATTTACACTGAAGTAAGGTTGCATACAACTAGGGGAATGTATCTAATCACATGCACCTGATACCCTAAATATTCTGTCTTTATGAAAGTTTTTATACATGGCACCCATTAATCTAATCTCAGTGTCAGTGTACATTGAACCATCAGCAAGCATTCTATCTGTTGTGTCAAATTGAAATGACACTTCTAGAGAACTGCTGGGTAATTCTGTATTCAAAGGAAATTTTTCAATCTGAATTCATTCCACTCTATACATGGGGCACATGTTGCTGCATCACAGAAGCGACTGTCCACAGGCTGGCTCAGGAAAGCAAGGTCACTCACTCACAACAGGACACACTCTAATACAATGATGCCAGAACAGTGTCTTGGATTGCCAGAGAATATATGTATCCTGGTATTTATGATATTTCATGCAAGATCTCTGTACTGTGACTGGCTCTATTTGATTTTGTTTACAAAAAATTCAAAAATTGGCAAGGATGAAGAAGGGCAACAGCCACTGCACCACAGGTAAGTCTGATCTTCCAGGAACATTAATGTCAACTGAGCTCAAACTTACAGATCTCCTCTGTCCTCTGGAGGGTAACAGATCTGCTGAGTTCATCATCTTCCACCTGTCAGCCTCCCACATTCTTTGTTGTGGTTGCTTTCTCCTTTTTTGGTTAAAACTTTTGGAGATTCCTCAAATGATGATCAGTCAGCTGGATGAAGTTTAATGGCCCATTTATCTTGATGCTCACACACTCTGCCTTCTCTCTCAGGGAGTGAGGCAACTTACTTTGCATTGTTGGCCTTGCTTCATTATCAAGGAAAAGAACCTAGAAAAAAGAATATCCAGGAAGTCATCACATATAGGTGTATAATGATTCAGGATTTCATTGCCTTTCTTTTTAACAGAAAAATAACATGTATATAGAGGTCAACTTACATGTGCCAGGATTCCATTTGAAGGAGACTCCCTGAGGAAACAGTCAAAGAAATCTCTCTCATATTTTCACTTACTTTCCAAATTTCCACTCTAATGGTTCATCTTCTATCTGTCTTAGAAAATATGGTGTCCTAATACATGACCTGGCACAGTATGTGGCCCACACACACCAGGAGTTACAGGAAAGCAGAGCATGAATATCTTCATCTAAGATGATTCTGTCCTTCAGGAACAACAGGACAAGTGGCAGAAGCACAAATCACATCTTTCCAGTAAGCTTAGTTCAGGTGAGTTGAACACAGGGTCTGACACAGCTGTTCTAAGGTTCCTGTCTCTCAGAATACTTCACACCTCCACTAGAGACATTTGACCTCATTTGTTCTTCTCATCATCTTTGAAGTCATGGCAAGTTCAAGACTGGATGGAAAGAAAGAGAGGAGACACTCTGCCGTGGAGGCCAAAGTTGAAGAAAAGAGGTGAGAATTAGAGTGAAGGGAATCCTAAAAAAACCGTGACAGTTTCCCAGATCTTGTCCTTGATGCAGGACAGTGTCACATTTATCCTTTCTCAATCACTGATTATTCATCTACAGTCAGTCACACAGGTTTGGAATATCTGTCTTAGTAGCCATAGCACTAAAAGCAGGTATATATTATAATATGTCTAAATGATGATGCCTTCACTGTGCAGAGCTGGATAAGAGGCACCATGTTCTGTCTGATAATCCCAAAGTGGATGTTCTTTACATGAAAGCATGAATATTTATCAGAGTATATGATCCTGTTCCAGGCTTAGGAACTCAGATGGGTGTGTGATGTGATAGGCATGGATGTGAGAAACCCTTGACCACCAGTGGTTTGATTTAAGAATTTTCCTGTTATTTAAGTTATTGAGTTTGTTAAGGAAAACATGAACAATCAAGTTGAGAAAGAGGATGCCTGCAGATGTTAGTGAGGGGCACCCCCCGCACATACAGTCAGTCATGCTGAGACCTCACTTCTGAGCCTGGCCTGGCTGGAAGAGGCTGTTCATTGGACTCTCAACTGAGCCTACGTTTTGAAGAAATGTCCTCATTTCCATGTGTCAATATAAATAACTTCAATCAAGAGCACTGCCCAGAGTCCTCTGGGGTATGTGAATACACGGACTCTGCAGTTATACCTTAACTCTGCCCAATAAGTCTCTAACAAAAGGCCTCATTACTTACTCCTGCTAGCACACACTGTATCCCAAAGTGAAGTGCATTTTTGGACAGTTGATAAGAAATCACATATAGGGCCTGGCGCGGTGGCACAAGTGGTTAAAAGTCCTCGCCTTGCACGCCCGGGATCCCATATGGGCGCCAGTTATAATCCCGGCAGCCCCGCTTCCCTTCCAGCTTAAAGAAATCACATACAGCACGGCACGAATTTCACAATGTTACAAAACCTTAGCAGGCCATTTGTGGGTTGAGACAGTATCAATGACAGGTTCAAAAAATAACCAACAATCAAACAAAAAATTACAGGTTAAATCAAGGCAAACATGTGGTATCTAATCTTTTGGGATTCACTCATTTCCCTTAGCATTATAGTTTCCAGTTGTGCCCATTTAGCCACAAAGAACTGCATTTTGTTTTTTTTAATAGCTGAGTAGTATTCCATGGAGTAGATGAACCAAAGCTTTCTTATCCAATCTTCTGCTGATGGGCATTTCGGTTGCTTCCATGTTTTTGCAATTACTGATTGTGCTGCAATGAACATAGGGATGCATGTTGGTTTGTCGTAAAACAGGTGTTTTGGATATATTCCTAGGAGTGCTATTGCTGGGTCATATGGTATGCAGATTTTGAGTTGTTTGAGTGTTCTCCAGACTGATTTCCATAAAGGCTGTACCAATTTGCAGCTCCACCAGCAGTGGAGTAGGGTTCCCTTTTCCCCGCATCCTCGCCAGCAAGCGTCGTTGGTGTTCTTGTTTATGTGGGCCAATCTTACTGGTGTTAGGTGGTACCTCATCGATGTTTTAATTTGGATTTCCCTTATTGCTAGGGAGCTGGAACATTTTTTCATATGTTTGTTTGCCATTTGGACTTGTTCCTTTGTGAAATGTTTGCCCATTTCCCGTGCCCATTTCTTGAGTGGTTTGTTTGTTTTGGTTTTTTGGTTGTTTTGAAGTTCTTTGTATATCCTGGAAATTAGCCCCCTATCGCCTATATCGTGTGCAAAGATCTTCTCCCACTCTGTGGGTTGCTTTTTTACTTTGTTGATTGTTTCCCTTGCTGTACAGAAGCTTCTTAGTTTGATGAGGTCCCATTTGTTTATTCTGTTCTCAACTGCTATTGCTTTTGGTGTCCTTCTTAGAAAGTCGGAACCTACTCCTAGGTCTTGCAGGGTATTTCCTACATTTTCCTGCAAGAGTTTGAAGGTTTCTGGATGTAGGTTTAGGTCTTTTATCCATGTAGATTGGATCTTAGTGTATGGTGATAGATGTGGGTCTATCTTTTTGTTTCTACAGGCTATCAGCCAGTTGTCCCAACAACATTTACTAAAGAGGCCTTCCCACTTGCTTGAGTTGTCATTGGTCTTTTTGTCAAAGATTAATTGGCTGTATTTGTGTGGGTTCCCTTTTGGTGCTTCTATTCTATTCCATTGATCTTCCTTTCTGTCTTTGTGCCAGTACCAGGCTGTTTTGATAACCACTGCTCTATAGTATGTCCAGAGGTCCGGGATTGTGATTCCCCCTGCTAACTTCTTATTTTTCAGGATGGTTCTAGCTATTCGTGGTTTTTTGTGTTTCCAGATGAACTCTTGAATCATTGTATCCAGTTCCGTGAAGAATGTTTTGGGCAATTTGATTGGAATTGCGTTGAAAATGTATATTGCTTGTGGTAGTATAGACATTTTAATGATATTGATTTTGCCTATCCAGGAGCACGGGATGTTATTCCATCTTTTGAGGTTTTGTTCAATTTCCTTTTTAAATAGTTTGTAGTTTTCTTCGAATAGGTCTCCTACGCTTTTGGTTAAATTTATTCCCAAATACTTCATACTTCTCTCTGCTATTTTGAATGGTATCCTGTTGGTTAGATCTTCTTCCATCTTGGTGTTATTTGCGTACACTATGGCTGTTGATTTTCGTTCATTAATTTTGTACCCCGCCACTCTGCCAAACTCTCGTATAAGTTCTAGCAGTTTCTGTATTGAGTCTCCTGGTTTTTCTATGTACAGGATTATGTCATCTGCATATAGTGAAAGCTTGACTTCTTCGTTTCCTATACGTATGCCTTTGATTTCTTTTTCTTGTCTTATGGCCTCTGCAAGTACCTCTAGGACTATGTTGAATAGCAGTGGTGATAGCGGGCACCCTTGTCTTGTTCCAGATCGCAGTGGGAAGGGTTCTAGCTTTTCTCCATTCAGTATGATACTGGCATTGGGTTTTTCATAAATTGCTTTGATTATGTTGTGGATTTTCCCATCTATGCCTACTTTGGCTAGAGTTTTTAGCATGAAGAGGTGTTGGATTTTGTCGAAAGCTTTTTCTGCATCTATTGAAACTATTATGTGGTTCTTGTTTTGCAGTTTTTGGATGTGGTTTATAACATTTATGGATTTCCGAATGTTGAACCATCCCTGCATTCCAGGGATGAATCCTACTTGATCCGGATGAATGATCTGTCTGATGATTTTTTGAATTCTATTGGCTAGGATTTTGTTGAGAATTTTAGCATCAATGTTCATCAGAGAAATAGGTCTGTAGTTTTCCTTCTCTGATGGTTCTCTGTCCGGTTTTGGGATTAAGGTGATGTTAGCTTCATAGAATGAGTTTGGGAGGGTTGCTTCCTCCTCTATTGTTTTGAAGAGCTTGTAGAGGATTGGGGTTAGTTCTGTTCGGAATGTTTTGTAGAATTCTGTAGTGAAGCCGTCTGGGCCTGGGCTTTTTTTCGTTGGGAGATCTTTGATGACTGTTTCAATCTCTACCTCGGTTATGGGTTTATTTAATTCTGCAGTTGCCTCCGGACTGAGTTTTGGTAAGTGGTGGGAGTCCAAGAACTTTTCTATTTCTTGGTGGTCCTCAAATTTGTGGGAGTACAGTTCTTTGTAGTAATTTCTAATTATTTTCTTAATGATTGCAGTGTCTGTTGTTATGTTGCCTTTTTCATCTTTAATGCTATTGATTCTCACTTTCTCTTGTTTTTTTTTGGTCAATCGGGCCAGTGGAGTGTCTATTTTGTTTATTTTCTCAAAAAACCAACTTTTTGATTTGTTGATTTTATGTATAGTTTTTTTGATTTCTATTTGGTTTATCTCCTCCCTTGTTTTGATGATTTCTTGTTTCCTATTGTGTGTGGGACTCTTCTGCTGCTGTTTTTCCAGATCCTGGAGGTGTGAGGTTAGTTCCTGTATTTGGCGTCTTTCTTGGGCCTTGACATGGGCTCCGATTGCGATGAATCTACCTCGTAGCACTGCTTTGGCGGTGTCCCACAAGTTTTGGAATGTTGTATCAGAGTTTTCATTGGTTTCCATAAATTTTTTGATCTCATCTTTAATTTCTTCTCTGACCCATTGTTCGTTTAATAGCATATTGTTCAATTTCCAAGAGTGCCTATACTTCCTGGGGAGTTTTGAGTTGTTGATTTCCAGTTTCATCCCATGGTGGTCTGAGAGGGTACATGGTATGATACTAATGTTTTGGAAGTTGTTTAGATTCGCTTTATGTCCTATCATGTGGTCGATTCTGGAGAAGGTGCCATGCACCGCTGAGAAGAAGGTATAGTCTGTGGCCTTAGGATAAAAAGTTCTATATATGTCTACTAAGTCCAGTTGTTCTATTGTTTGTGTGAGCTCTGTTGTTTCTTTGTTGAGTTTTTGTTTCGTAGACCGGTCCATTGTTGTTAGAGGTGTGTTGAGATCGCCTACAAGAATTGTGCGGGTGTCTATGTCTTCCCTTAAGTCTGTAAGTAATTGCTTTACGTAAGTAGGTGCATTAAGATTCGGTGCATAAACATTAATGATGGTGATTGCTTCTTGATGGATCATTCCTTTCACCAGTATAAAATGGCCTTCCCTGTCTCTTTTGATG